CCTTGGTGCACCCGTATCAAGCACTAGAACAGAAATATACCGAAGAGGTGCATATTATCACATTTCTGGCTTAATCATTCTGTTTGACAGTTCAAACACCCAAGCAGCGATCATCTTCCCTAGTGCAAGTCGTACCCGAAGCGTCAACGGAGCCGTACACCCAACTGACAGCTAACGAGGAAACATTAGGGAACTTCAAAGAAACCCGCCGCAAAGCAGACGAGCCTCGTAAAATAGCCTTACCCCGCAGAGAGCGACTCGCACCATCTTTTCCCTACTGAGTGTAATTGAACACAGGAGAAGCACTACAGAGTCCTGCTGATCTAGGTATGCCGTCCCGCGGTAAGTATATGCGAAAAACTCAGAATTACTCTAACATTTTATTGTAAGCCGGAAGATTTTAATGTACAGCGTACGACATCGCAAATACTGGACTAGCGAGCAACGCAATTCGAGAATTATACCGATTCGTGATTATTGAAATTTTGCTGCAGTACTCTTTCAATCAATTGGTGTCATTCGACTGTATAGGCTAATCTGTCAGAGTAAGCGTGATTCACTTGATTTTCTGGCATAACAGTTATATTGTGCTGATCAGACTCGTTCTGAACTGCGAAGCCAAGAACTCCCCGAGGTGGATTGCTACATGCCACTATGGGGTCAAGATTGGAGGTATGACCTAGTAGTGACCGACCGGGCGATAAGCGAGCGTCGGATGAACGTTCGTAGACCGCCCGAGGTCCTTAGGTCGCTCGCTCAGTAGAAGTCATCGGCTATACCAAATGGACTATTTAGACGGGACGCAGATGAACTCAATAATTCGTAATCTGTTTCGGAAACCCCATTCTCATCTTCTGGTATGTGATTTTATCCCTGAGGACAAAGGACTGCAGTTCTTCTCACGTAAATGCAATTGGCAGCCGCAACGCCGACGAGCCCAGTGGGTACGGTGCTCCTGATTGCCATTGTTATCATCTCACTGATTCAGCGCTTTTGTATGTTTCTCAGCGCGTCCTGGTGACTGAGCATTCTTCCGAGTATTACACCGCCGTCGCGACTGCGTCATGCACCGCTCTCCCTGAGATATACACTCAACAACATACCGTTGTCATGTTATCCGGTCTGCCTGCTACCTTCCTGTATTGAGGTTCATCTGTACAAATCAGCGCAGTAATTTCATATGGAACCCTTGACATCCAGTCCATTTGGCAAGAGACGCCCGATACAAAAGAGGCCAATATTCACTCTGTCCTTCAAGTTCGCTAAATATTAACGTATTCCTCGAGTTAACCGCTAACGATAGAAATGACACAATTACAGGCCATCGCTGCGGTTGTAGCTTGATCGCCGCTTCGTGACGATTCGTCTATTGCAATACCTGGCAGCAAGCGCCGCTTCATCTTCTTTGTTGTCTATATCCTTTGCCTGCTTGGACAATCCTGCGGCTCGGGACTCGGTTGACGGCTGGATCTATTCTGAGACGCCGCTGTGCACTCTGGTCTCTGACGTTGCCCACATTCAAATCACCGTGTCAGTATGCCGAGGTGATCGCAGTACGTGTAAATTCATCTCCTTCCAGCTTGCGACCCCATATTCGAAACCGAAACCGAGCTAATTTTGTATGTATGGTAATAGCCGCGGCGCGCTCGCCGCTGATAAGGGGCCGTCGTATTCATTATGATCAGGGCTTGTAGTCGTCAATTTAAAGGACCATGCACTGCATGCACCGGTCTTGAACGGCTTCCGTCGGCCTACACTTCAATTTCTCGACCCGTGGCACTGAAGTCGGACGTACATGGATGCCGCCACCCCGCCGAGATGCCCGTCGATCTTCTGTTGTGTAGACTCGACCTTCGCGATGCAGATCCTTCACAAATCAATCTTCTTATGATTTCGAGCCATTAAGTATATCGGAACTCCCATGGATATTTCACGGGTTCCTTCGGGAGCTTTAGGAGACATGCGGCTCGGATAAGATTATGGATCCATGAGAGTCACGATCCCCACTGACGTCGAGCTGAATGTTATCATCTTGCACTGTAGGTAGGTATATACGGCGTGGGTCTATAGAATTACGGACTGCGAGGGTCTCGGCCAAGCACTACCGCCTCTATGCTAAAGTTGCTGAGCCCTGGTGCCCGAGCTTTCTCTCCCCGAGTTCTCAATCCATCCATACTGAGCTATTTATATAACCAGCAAACAAAATAGAAAACTAAGATACATTTGCTGTATATTCTGAATTGATAGAATAAAGTAATGAAGGACAGGTATTTCGATCAAGCAGGAAACCGACGGTAACGAAGGGTGGTCCGGGACAAAAAGCACCCAATAGATCGAGACGATTAGCTATCCGTCCTGGGAGGAGACTCATTCGCGGGAGATACATCCAAGGTGCTGGGATCTCTTCGACTGGAGCTAGGGCGAGACGTACTGTCAAGAGGAAGTTAGCGCTCCACCTCAAACCAGGGCCAGAGCATAAATCATAGATGGGAACCGAATAATAGTTCGAGGTACAAAGTGAAAACAATACAAATGGCACAGCATGGATGGAAAAAATTGCTACAGTGTCAAGGTGAAACCGCAACACAAATGCCCTAACGGCGGTCCTCATTGTATAGCTTTGGACTCAGTGAGTCCAGCCAAATACAGAGGCTTGGAAAATTGAAGTATACACATTGAATGAGGTCTCTCCTAGAGCCAAGCCGCTCTTACGAGAGGTCATTTAAAGCCATTTGGAAAGCAACGACCAACCCCAAGTACTGGGCCCGAACAAGCGGTACACGCGCTTGCTTTTGAAGGTAGATTGCAAAGATGCATTTGCAACGGCAGCGAGAGGGACGAAAAGAAAACGAATGCAACAAGGGTTAATGCAAAAAGGCGAGCCAATTACAGGAAGAAGAATGACAAAGTAACATGAGGCACTCACCTGCCGTCCTGACCACGCTTGCTGGGCTTCGGCCAACCCCACACCTCACGGATCCAGCGTGCCATGTTGACTTCCTGTTGCATATTCCGCAGGAGCCATGGGTGCCGCAGCATGTCTTCCGGGGTTGGACGCTCAGTCGCCGACACAGTTAGCCTGCGTCGAGTCAGTCAGCCGGTCAAGCCGCGGTTCTGGGCTGGATACGCACGTCAGCCGGATGAAGTCCTTCATCTCGGGGCTCCATTGGGCATCTGCATCATCTTCTAGTCGGGGAGGCTGTGGTAGAGTTTGAGAACAAGAACCACGGTATCGGATCGTTTACGTACATCGCTTTGTGTAATGTACATCATCAGCTCGATTGGCGGAAGGTCGTTTGGGAAGGGGAAGCGGTTTTGGCAGAGTTCAAGGAGGGAGATGCCAGTCGACCAGACATCGGATCGGATAGTGTATTCATTACCGCATATCCGTTCGGGCTGGGGAACACGTGAAACGAAAATTATGGCAGAAGGGACTCGGACTCACGGCCATGTAGAAACTCGTCCCTGTGAACGTGCCTGCCATCGAGTTCACGAGCTCACCGGACACACCGAAGTCACACAGCTTGACAATACCCTGCTTCGATAGCAGGATATTCGACGGCTTAATGTCGCGATGGATCGTCTTCTGCGAGTGCAAGTAGGCGAGACCTTGGAGGACCTATAACAGCGTCAGGCGGTCCACATAATAACCAATGCAAGCGCCTTACACCTTCCGCGAGCCTCCCCGCGACCTTCTCACCCACGCGCCCGCCCCGCTCCTTAATCCGCTTCCCCACCGCCTCCAGGCTCCCGCCCTCGCAGAACTCCATCAGCACCTTCACCTCGCTGTCGCTAGGGCTAATGTACGCGCCATAGAACTTGACGATATTAATGTGCCTCGTCTTGGTCACCATGCCTAGCTCTCGCAGGAGTTGTTTCATTGGCGCCTCGCGTGTCGTGATAGTCTTACGCGCCATGATAAACCCGTTGCGCTTGTCCTGCACCTTGTGAACTGCCCCACCCGCGCCTTCGCCCAAGCGTGAAAGCTCGACGAGTACATCATCAGAGTACGAGGAGGGAATGGGTAGCTGGCGGTGGGCGTCGTTCTGTGACGATGGAGGTGATACAGCGGATGTAGTGATAGTGGTAGCACTAGACGGCTTAGACAGTTCCTCGGAGGAGTCGCCGGACGGCTCTCCAGATGTTGTAGTTATCGCAATGCCGTCTATCGTCCGACGTAGGTCCTCCATTGAGTCCAGGGCAGGACGCTTTGGCTGGCCGGACATCGCAGGACGGATGGTCGTCTCGCTCGGCCCATCCCCGCTCGCGCTGTCCAAGCCCTCCTGTGCAGGACCACCATAGTATCCTCCCGCAAATGGGTTGAAGCCCGTGGGCGAATCTGAGCGGTCGGACGCGGGGTTTGCATCTGGTAGCGGGATTTTGATCTGGATGCGGCCTCCCTTGGGTGTAGCCGGTCGTGGGGACGACTTGCCTGGGATCTGCAGGCTCAGCGCCGGCATAGGCGAGCGCGATCTCGGCGGTGCAAGACTACTGGGCGGGGACAAGGGTGCATTGTTCGAGGTGGGCTTGCGGATGTTCAGCGGTGCGGTTTCTGGCAGAGGTAAAAAGGGAATAGGCGGGGGCACGGGCGATGTCGAGCGCGGCAGACTTCGAGGACCAATTGGCCGTGGATGGGTACTTGTAGAGTGCATTGCTGGCGGTTCACAGTAAGGTAGAGAAAGGGTAACGACAAGGGCTTTAATTAAGGCTGTCGCGCCTGGCAGCTGCGCGGGGCAACCATACTACTCGAGCCACCCGTTTCCAACACGCTGTAAACTGCATTCCAGGCGTTGTATGCCCGCAGGCCAGGCATGAGGTGCAGCGTCAGTCGTCTGCTTCATGTTTAGGATGTTGTTGAACACGAGCAATCCATCAACTACTCCTACATAACGCTGTACATAAAGCAGTACGCGCGTAGCGCCAACTGTGGCACACTCCGCGACACCACTCAAATGAACACAAAAAGGAAGCGTGAATCGTCGGTTGACGAGAGCGACATATGCACTAAGCGAGAATCGAACTCGCGGCCAGTCGACAAGGCATCGTGGCAACGACTGAGGTTACCACTACCCCATTAGTGCATATCGTTGGAACAAATCGAAATTATCTAGACTGTAGGGTAATCTACAGTAATACAAAGCACTCAAGCCATGCCAATCCGTAAATTGTCAAACTTGCTATCCTCGTATCTCAACCAGTTCTCACTGCCATCCAGCCTCCCAAACACGCTATTCACCGCACTCACCAGACTCTGCCCTGGCTGAGGGTCCTTCCCAGGCCCTCCCTCCATACCATCCCTCGTCCCCCCTTTGTCCCCACTCAGCTCCCAATACATTGCACCGCCGAGCCCCTCCTTCTTGATCCATTCTGCCTTCCACCTACCCACCTCGTCCGAGTCGAAGCTCACCATCTCCTTCTTGCTGTAGTCATATGACCAACTTGCAAGCGCCGCAGCGTCGCGGAACATGTGCGCGCCTGGTAGGGGCAGAGCGCGATAGTCGTAAACTCCTTGTTCCCAGGTACCCTGGCCGATACCTGAGAAGGGGTGACCAGGGCCGTCGGTATTCATGAAAGAACGGCCATAGAGAGGCAAGCCGATGACCAGTTTATGGCGAGAGACGCCTTGAGAAGTGTAGTATGTCACGGCTTCAGAGGTGCTGATTGGTCCGCCAAAGACGTTGGCCTGGTGGTTTGCGATCTGATCCCAAGAACCAGCTGTAGTAACCATAAGACACTTGGCCCGAGAGAGAAGTGTGGATAGACTCACAGTAATCATAAGCCATGAGGTTCCAGAAGTCAAGGTACTGATCCATCTCCTTCATAAGCAGTTTCTTGTAATTGTCAGGACCGCAGGGGGAAGCGACCTAGGGTCTCCATTAAAACTTCGTATATGCCACGGATAGTATCACGTACCGTCAACAAAAATCGATAGTTGATTCCCTTCGACCTCGCATGCTCGTCCAAGGCATGTCTCATTTCCTTGAGTAACTCGACATATCCGCTTGCCTGCTCCGCGTTACTGGGATACTCATAATCCACATCTAGTCCATCTAAACCATAGTCTTCCACCAGGCGAACAGATGTTTCCACGAACTTCCGTCGTAGGTCCGGCGACACCACGACGGGATGGATCTTCGGGGAGTATGTCCATCCGCCAATAGACAGAATCAACTTCAAATGGCGGTGGGCTTTCTTCAGTTTGTAAAGGGCCTTGAAGTTTCCGTACAAATTGTTGCCTTGGTCATTCCACGAGTCTCCGGGGTAGTGGATTTGTTCGTCCGCCCACGGGTCTGACAGGACTACGGATCCGTCCGCCTGAATATCGGCGAACGCATATAAGATGTGCCTGAAGCAACCCATCAGCCGTCTGCTGGCGGAACTGTCAGCATACATGGACCTACGTGACGTCCTGGACTGGGATAGCAGATGGAGGGAATTTTCGGCCGTAGATTCCCCTGCATCATTCATCAACGTACTGCGGAAAACAAGCAGTAACCTAATATACCAATTCGTGAAACTGATAAACACATAAATTAGGTATCATAAACCAGAAACACGGTTGTACTCACTATCCGACGCTCTTCATAGACATGTCTGTTTCGTTTGACGGCACCTGTGGCTTCTCAATCTGGTCGTTCTGTTCGGTAACCGTGTTTTTTCCTTGCTTTCCTTTGCTGTTATCCGACACCGACCACTGGCCCGCCTTATACGAACCTAGCGCAACAATGCAGAGAAGCGCTATATAAAGAAACAACTTGTGCAAAGCGATTCCTCCGGTGCGCGCGGAGGGTTTGTTGTTAGAGGAAGATGGCGGGAAGCTGTGTGCGTCCTCGGTTGGAACGCGTTCGTACACAGACATGAAGGGAGGGTCGGGCTTTATGTAGCCGCGGTGGACAGCCTCGACTGACACGATCGCAGTAAAGTGACGTCAGACCGAGGAAGGGTCATAGAAACCAGCACAGCTGCATCTGTTACACCGCCCAGCTAGAACAGCTTTAGCGATTATAGTTCTTTAGGATCAAATGTTAGAGTGAACTCTAGAATTCGATATGTTGAACAGCGACTTTAGGAGGGAGATGTGTAATTGTGAATATTGCTTGAGCAGATGGCATCGGCATTGCCCGGAATTTATGCATCAATATCGGCCCGACGTAGTACAGTCGACTAGTCTGTCTTATAACCCATATGCATATATAGCGATCCGTGGAAGCCAAAAGTTATTACTTACAGAGTATGGGTTTGGGGAGAGGATATTTAGTATTAATTGTGGATCCGTGGACCCCAAAATCTATGGGTTATTAGGGAGTATGGGTTATGGGAGGTATGGGTTATGGGAGAGTCGACTGTACTACGAAAAGCATTCGATCCTTGTACTCAGCAGTTCGTGTTTAATGGGGCGGGGAAAAGAGGGTATAAGGAGTGATATAGCAAAATGACCGGAAGGCATCGACTGTTTCTTCGGATGCGGTCACTCGCCTGAATAGAATCAGATCGTAGCGGTGCAAGCGCCAGTCCCCGACTCCATACGAGTCAGAATTTGCCTGGCACTAGCGATGTGTGCATAGTTTTTCATAGCTATTGTACAGTGCATAGTAAATACAAGGATAGAGAATATTTATTAGTAATAGAAGACCTCCGGTTGAATCAGTTCACTATCGGTGTAGAACAAAACACTACTGTTTCTACATCCAAGGATCCGTTGTTGCCATTAGATATTCGCGACAGGTGTTCCTGGACGAGGAAGACGTGAAGCACGATATCGATACTGCGATAGAGCGAACAAAAGCCTGAGCACGACGACGACAGTCGGGATGACTGCGTAGCATACTTAAGTGAGTTTTTCACACGAGTCACTCGCGCGTATAGGCGTCGCCATTTCTCCCTGACAGAACCCTCCCCCACTTACCGTGGGAGTCGGGGATGCTGTTACAAGTCGGCATCCGACTTAAGCCGAGCGCCATGACTGTCAAAGGCCCAGAGAGCGCAGAAATGCGATTAAGTATCAGAGTGAGACAGGCGATTACAAGTGAAGGAGAAAGCGGTTGAAGAAGCTGCCACTAGGGCGGGAAACATGTGTCTGACCTGCGGGCCGCAGCTTTGAGGTTCGACCGTAGTATGCAGAGCGTTTCAAGAAACACACGTTCACATGCATAAAACTCAACAGTGAGAGCAAAAGAAGTAGCCTGTCGTCCACGCAGCGTGGGGGCGGGCGGGGGCAGTCTGAAACGAAGGGTTCCCCCATTCACCATTGCACGTCAGTGATGGTCCTTTCTTTCTAGTACCTACTACCCAGGCGCCTGTTACAATGAGGGGGCCTCACAACTCGTCGCAGGATTATTTGGCACTTACACGAGTGAAGTAAACATGAAGAGAGGACCTTGATCCCAGTGACTCCGAGTCACCTCTACTTGACGGTAAAAGACCCGTCGATATTTTCGGAGGTTGCTTTTTGCCGGGGCAGAGTTGAATGAGCCTGGCGACCCCTTTGACAAGTCGTAAGGCGCAGAGCATCCGGTGTAAAGCCTAGAGCTGATAGGAAGCTCGAGTCAGTTCACCGTGATATTTCATTATTAATAGAAACAGCGAGGGCATCAATTACGGCACTTGACACAGGCAGTCGACATATCACCAGGAATTCAGGGCGAACATAGCGTAAGAAAGCCTTGGTTATTGAATTGCTCAAGTATTCAATCAGTGACAAGGAAAAGAGCAAGTCGATCGGCTCATCACCATGAACGACGATGTCCAGGCTGCGGGGGCAGGCCTTGATGGAGAAACCGACAGGAAAAAAAAGTGCGGCGGAGAAGTCCTCGGATCCGGGAGCTATCCCTTCCGTTCTAGCTGCAGACTTGGTTTCCGAAAAGTCCCTACCGACTGCTCGCGGTTCGTTCCGGTGGACAGCCAAGGCTTCGATTTGTATTCGCACCATAGAGTGGCAAGTCGGTCTCTGTTTCTACGTCACTAACCAGGTATCATCCCGCGCCGACGTTCACGTCGTTGATCGGTGTCTTCCCAACGGTGAACGAGACGTCCAGCCGCAGTGTAAGGCATTCCAGACCCGAAGCTTATTGGAGGGTGCAGTGCCGAGCTGGTGGGAAAAGCTACTCCCGCTATTGACAAGACCGCAACGTTTTGATTGCTAGGGGGAGATTTAAGGGTGGGTTCTCCAGCACAATTTTCAAGACTACGGAGGCATCGGATAAGCTTGGATTGGCGAAGTATGATCGCCAATAAGCTCCGGATAGTGTCCCGTGACTACACGCCTGGTGGAAGTGGTGGAGGAGAGCATATCAGAAAGGCGCAAAAAACATGAGTACCGGAAGAATCAATGGGTCAATTGAGGCGAGTCGTAGACCCCGGCGGGCGAGTAATAATTGGCCGCCGTGGCCGGAGCATCGGACTAAAAGGTATCACCAGTTGATAAGGATTGGCTTCTTGCAAGAGTGCTGTTATCCCAGCCATTGACGAAGTACTATCCTGCCAAGCAACGTGGAGTCACCACAGACACGTCTTGATCACGCACCAGCGCCTGTTTTATCATCCGGAGTTGCGGAAACGACCGGTGCAGTAAAGCGATGATCACGTGAATGAAGCTCAGCTTATAAGACATCGAAGCCCTGCAAGTTGAAGCCATTAGAGGCTAGAAAGGGAGGGGGGAAGAGGGAATAAGCTCAGAACGTGGTTCAGGGCCATACCTTATGTTCCACGGGTTGGATTGTGTTCCAGAGAAACATCAGACGATAGCGAAGCATGCGGCACAGTAGGGAACACGGCAACGGCGTCTCCATGTTACGCAGGCCCTGAAGGAGGATAGCACCCGTTCGCAAGAAAAAAGATAGCTTGCCGGAGTTCAAGACGAGGTTGAGCTCTATGGCCAGATCTTCATCGCAAGACCATAATTTTCAGCAGCAGGCCATGAAAGGCGATGTCTCGGTGTAGCACACCTTCCAGGTACAAAAAGCAAGAGCATGGGGTTCGGCGGTAACCACATCACGTTGAGAAGCTGAGAAGTTTGGCTCCGGAGAGCCCCATGAGTTGAATCGTTTTCTATTCGACTGAAGTAGGCCCACTCTAAAAACCT